GTAAATAAAGGTATCTGTATCTGTATCTGTATATCCGATATAACCGCCTTTCGGCATAACACACCAACTTCGCAGGCACGCGGCGCGGCGGCAGCTGGCTATATTACACCGATCGACTTGTTACACCTAACCTTTGAACTTCCATCTCTAGACATTGTTTAAAGCTATCTAATGACAATGCCCCTACTGTACTTGGTGACAGAGAGTTCCACTCTGCGATAGTTCTAGAAAAGAATTAATTCTTGAACACCTCAATTCTTGGTTGATAACTCTGATACTTGAAGGCATGGCTATTTCTTGTTCTCTTCTGGGCTGGTATTAGGTACTTAGTAGTTGGGACGTCCACCAGTTAAAGGTGTATATATATAGGCAAAGGTGAGTGGTTTGATAGGTAAAAAAACTGTTTGTGTGTTCTTGTGTGTTTGTGGGGGGGGGGGTCGTCACTCGTAGTCTAACTCTAAGCCTCCACTATGATTTCCTAAGGAGTTACGGATATCAGTAGCCTCTACCAGGCTTCGGGAGGCGGCTAGAAATAGTAGAAATATACCAAATAGAGAGAGATAATATACCGGGGGAGTTGGTCTGCTAGAGAGTACAGTTTGTTGCACACGAAGTCTGGTAGAGGCTAGGATGCCAGGTCAACAATTGCTTCTGGTTTCAGGTAGTCTTCTATGCCCCCTAATACTAATAGTTTCTATGAACAGACAGATAATGTCAAACCATATGATCTCTGAGGTTTCCCTCCCCAATTCCATTTCCAAACACAAAATTTATATGCACAGTACAATGTAGAAGCATCAATAGCTCATGGGCCATTAGGTGATCATATCTAGTAGATAGTGATTCACCCAGAAATATACTCGATCAGACAATAAGGCTATAAGCATGGAATAACCCAATAGATCTATTTCAACTGACCTCCATGATGATGATGATGATGCCGATGATGATGACCATGGATGATCATGGGTGAGCCCATTGCGCTAGTATAGGGATGATCAGTGTTACTTCCTTTTTTATCATTACCCGAAGAAGGTTATCTTTGGGGCTCTGCCCCTCCCCCCTTCCACTAAAAGTAGCAAGGGAGTACGTAAATACAATTTCAGTTTGAACTTTTGCTACATTACAGCAACTTTTAACAAACAGGCGGTATTTGCATTCTTTACTTCGCACGTAAATAAAAAAAAACAATACATAGTAAAATACGATGTTTTCTTTCATTTGTTGATGTCTTATAATATTCAAGACGCAGTAATAAACTCATTCATTTAGTCATCCATCCAGTCACAGAAAAGACTGTGCTTAGGTAAGGCCAATGTGATCTCTTCAAGCCTTCCCCACAACTAAACCAAAGCAAGCAAGCAATTAACTAGTACTAAAAACGATAAATAACAAAAGACAAAGACTAGACTTGATCCCCCTTCCCTCCCTCTAACCATCAATCTTATCAAAACTGTCAGTCGGCTCATCACGCTGTTTCCCGTGAACAGAGAGCTCACCGCCGGTGCGGAGGTTCAGACAAAGACTCGCCTGTGTCCGTACTTAACACACGTGCACACCTAACGACTTTCTTCCGGTACCTCCGCCAGGTGTGTGCCCTCAACTCTAAAACATCAAAGTACCCCTCGCGACCTCTTAAGGGCGCGGGTGCCTCTCTTAAGGGACCGCTTAAGAGCCTTTCTTCGCCTGAAAAGTCTTTGTCTTAGACCGGCAAATTTCCGCACTCGGTTCCAGAGAAAGGCACGTTATGGATGGAAATTTAATCTCGATTAACACTTCCATGCCGACACTTCCGATCTTTTTTCAGACAAAAATTACACAAGGTTATTTGATATGTATCTTCCTATATTACATTATCAGCGTAGGAAGTTTGAACACAATTGAAACACACATGATTGACGGTTATAGAAATGAACTATTGCTTCTTTTCTATAGAACTGTTCGTTTCTTAAAGTGAAATTTTGTGTCTTGTAAGACTAGTTCTTGAAGCTACAGTTGCCGAAAAAGATTATAAGATTTTCTATAAGTTGTCGCAAGTTCTCCTTAGTTTTGAAGGAACACATGTCTGTAATTCACTTTATGTTCAAGGTAGCAAAATTTCACCGTCTGAGAAAAATGCACATGTTCACGGAACTATATATTCACGACAGGTGCAGGGAAAAGAAGTCAGGGAATTATTTGTTAACTGTAATGATAATTTCACGGTACAGACGTGACAGTGAAAACAGTGAAGATAAAACAGTACCAAGAAAAAAAAAATCAGGAATTACAGAAGTATTTGAAAAGCCGAATGTGGTTTGTACCTTTTTGTACCTTACAGGATTAACCACAAAAATGCCACCAGTCTGCGGTTTTAATTCGGCCCTCGACTTTCCTCAACTATCTCACCGCACATCTTTATTCATGAACCAATATGGCAAAAAGCTTCCGTTCTGAAAACTCTCGTGCTCTCAGTAGCCCTCTTTAGGGCCCTTTAGGCAGACTTTCACACACACTTGAGAACCGTTAGACCGCCGGTACTTTTGAAAGTCAAGCAGGTTTCTTCTCTGTTTAAATGTGGTCTAGGGCAAGACAGTCTAGACTTGAGGAAATGCCTTTCAAGACGAAGAAATAAAATATAAAACGACAGTGTCTGGTGACATAGTAAAGTTCCAACCCTCGACTCTGGTAGAACAAGTTATGTATCTTTATTGGTGGGAAAAAAATTCAGTGCAAAAGAGAAACCCCGAAAAAAAAGCCTAAAAACACACTAAAAATACCCCCAAAACCCAAACCTCTGCTTGGAGAGTAGTATAACTTCCCGTCGGCGTAACACACCAGCTTTACTACATTATACCGAACGACTTGTTACTCCTAACCCTTGAATATCTAACTCTAAACATTGTTTAAAGCTATCTAATGATGATGCCCCTACTGTACTTGGTGACAGCGAGTTCCATTCTGCGATAGTTCTAGGAAAGAATGAATTTTTGAACACCTCAATCCTTGGTTGATAACTCTGGTACTTAAAAGCATGGCTATTTCTTGTTCTTTCAGAGCTGGTATCATGTACTTAGTAGTTGGTACGTCCACCAGTTTATTAGTCATTTTGTACATCATGCATAGTCTGGACATTTTTCTTCTGTCTTCCAGTGACACCCACCAAGGAGGTTCAAAAACACCCACTGTCCAGTTTATGGTCCACTTTTCACCAACACGAACAGTTTAAAAGCGTCCCCTATCAATTCTGATTTACAACTCAGTGAACAAACGCAATCTATACTTGCAAAAGTCGACAAGTCAGAAACGCCACCATGCATATGCCCGTGGAACTACATGACCCCCAGATTGTAATATCAGCACCAAGGACATAGTAAGCCTTTTTGTAGAGACGTGGTGGTGGTGGGGGGGTCAATATTTGTAAAGAGGTAAAACCTGTTATGGAGCATAATTATTACTAGCCTATTGGAAATATTAATATCAGGTTCCCAAGTCATAACCTAGCTCCGGACAAGGTCACCGCAAAGAATCATGGGAAGGTGAACAGGTGTCTTAGTGATCAATTTCTTTAGGTTTTCTTTTATAAGCTCCTAATATTTATTTCTCATGTTACACAATGTTTTCTACAACGCTTTTTGAGCAAACAAAATGACTATTGCTAAAATTATATTTCATAAAACTGTTGCCGCATGTATGTTACCTATTGCAACAAGACAATACAAAGAGAGGTATTTCTTAAAAGACGTGCATGTCAAGATTTTATTTTTCTAAGGCCTTGACACAAAAATTAAACACAGTGTTTATCTACAGAATGAGAGGCGTGTGGATAGCAGGCCGGATAACAGACGGTGTAAGTAAGGACGTTCTCACCATTATCTAGCCCTAACATACCTCTGTGACGCACGTAGAAAAAAGTAAACACCGTAGTTTTTACTGGCATGACATCAGACCTTCAGATATCCGGACCTATATGTAAGAATAGACTGTATGCTGTAGGTTAATCATAGATGGAAACAAGTAATACATTTCTTATGAGAATGTATTATGTTGGTTGGGTTTTGTGAATTTCTTGTTTTCTTCATTATCTTGTGAATCTGTAACTGTATTTCCCGTGTCTGACCATTTGTGGTCTGTGGTGAGGTAATGCCCCATCCACTTGTTGCCATTCAAACACCAGAAATCGTAGCCTCCATAGCATGCAAAAAACTGGGGGTTTGGGGGGGTCTTCATGGTCTTTGGGATCTTTTATGTGCTATTTTCTGATCGCATATAGACAACATAGCCGGCCTGGTTGAATTACCCCCGTTTTTAGAACTGGGCTAATCAGAAAACAACCGAAGACCACCAAACCCCCAGTTCTATAAGCCTGCTACGGAGGCGAAGAAATCGTGCGTCAAGCTTTGTTGGATCCCTTGTCTCTGAACCGATAGACGTTTATGACATATTTTGCCTATTTTCGGCATGTTGCCTACCGTCAGAGGGCAACAAAATGTCTCGTTTTTTCCCCCAAAATATCAGACGAAAATCAATGCGTGCGCTGATGTCATCCATAAAATTGCTGTGGCCTAATTACGTATACGGACACAAGTAAACATTCACACGTGTACACACACATGGTGGCAAAACTATATTGGTATGCATATATGTGTATGTGCATGTACATGCCATGTGTGTTCTGAATCTTACTTATGAGCCATGCATGAAATTTCTCTGACATGACAGTGACATAAGAATCACTTTTGATGAAAGTTCGCTAAATTTAAAACGGCCCAGTATGAGATTCATTTTACAATTGACAGGCTATGTTGGGTGTCCATTTTAATCTTTATCAACACACGAACACACCCTACGTGTCCCAATTAATCCATGCTTGTCTTTAACACACACGACATTACCGTGTTTTGTAAGTAGTAGATAACGTTATTCTTATCATACGTACCCCTCATCCTTTGGTAAATACAACAATGTCCTATTACATAAGGTATTCTAATAGATACGTGGTATAAATACCACACCTGTATGCTAAGGCTTTCTTCTAAGAACACTCATACTAAAGACAACATGTTGGCCTTTTTCCTCGCTACTATTGCCCTTGTGGGGGCACAGAAGAATGGACAATTTGACCAGCACTACCAGTTTGGAAATCTCCATCAACCTATTGACAAGGCTGTCATCTTTGACTGTGGAAGTAAGTATTTATTTTATTTTATGACAATATTATTTTATGTTGAAGGATTGACATAACAGGTGACTATCACCCCTTCAAAGATGTCCAACCAGAGACCAGACAGTAATGTTTGAACCACTCACAACGGGAAGGTCCCCTACTCTTTTCGATAAGTGCGGTGGGTTCTTTAACGTGCGTGGGGTGTGGCTCTCCCAAACACGGGACCTCCATTTAATGTCCTATCCGAGGGACGTCCCTAGCCGAAGCTAGTTACTCATTTTCACCTGAGTGAAGTGAGGAAAGTCGTGTAAAGTACCTTTCTCAAGGGTACAACGTCGCGGCGCATGTTCGGACTTGTTCGGGTACGACCCGGAATCGAACCCGGGTCTCCCCGTTTCATAGTCCAGTGATCTACCACTACGCCACTACGCCAACGACAACAACCACTGTAAAATCCTACAGGAGTCTTTATATCTACCATATGGGTTGTAGCTTTCATCTAGTGTGTTCAAAGTAATCTAAAGTTGTCAGTATGTTAATTTTTTTTTGTATATTCCAACATGTAATCACAAGACGTGGTGACGGCACACTCAAGTTTTTTCAACTTATATTAATGTCGCCACCAACATAGGGGACAATACAATACTCATTTTCACCTGAGTGAAGTGAGGAAAGTCGTGTGGGCACAAGATCGGTAGCATGTCAGGACTCGAACCCGGGACCTCTTGGTTCCGAGTCGAGCACTCTGCCGCTACGCCACACGACCCCAGTTCTTCTAATTTGATGCTATATTCTGAAGACACCAAAATTTCTGAATGTAAATGAAATGGAACGAAAGAATGCCTTTCCTTGCTCGTCAAAAAGAAATTCATCTGAAGACCTAGCTTACGAAGGGAGTTTCATTTTTTTATGATGTTTTATATTTTGTCCTTTTATTTTAATTCCAGGCAATCCGGACCGGGCTATCCGAAACCCCAAGTTTGTTTTCAGCAGGGACGATTTGGAGTTGCCTGGAAATTTCACTATCATCGATGCTGAGGTAGGGTAGTTTCCAAAATCACATGGATAGATAATAAATATTCAAAACGACCCTAAGATAACAACAAATGTACAGCAAGATAGTGTTAATGATACTGGCTTAGAGCACACTTGGTTTAGTCATCTTTTTTGCACCATCAGTTTTCATCAAAATAACGTTAACGTTGTAACTACAGGCTAAATATTCCAGTTTCAAACGCTGTACCAAAGATTGGGCCGCCAAAATCTCTTTTACCTTCTCCCCGCTGCCCAATCCCGTAACAAATAGTAGCAAAACGGCTCCTTCAGTTTGCTTAAGTTGAGATGCAAACGTTGGCTATATACAAAGCATGTATAACGGCTTATTTCTTGCCTGGGAAACGCACAAGTGAAGTAGATGTTAGAAAGTAGATAAATGAAAAAAAAACATAGCGTAAACACATTTTTGATGTAGAATCGTCTGTATGTGTATCGGAATAGCCGGTATAACCGCCCTCCGGCGTAACACGTCAGCTTCGCAGCTAGCTATATCACACCGAACGACTTGTTAAACTCAATCTTTGGACATTTAATTGCAGGAGTTGCTTAAAGCTTTCTAGTGATGATGCCCCAACTGTACTTGGTGGCAACGAGTTCCAGTCTACGATAGTTCTGGGGGAAATACGAGGTTACTTATCGTACTTCAAATTGCATCCCGTAGGTTGAGGTAGCCAAGCCCGTCCCTAGACCCCTGTACGGTAGGATAGACGCCTGGAGGACCATCTTCCTGTTCGGTGGGGCGGCGTCAACTATTCAGCTGGGCTGCTTCGGTCTCACAGGCAAGGACTTCGGCATCGGGAGCTGGTGAGTTCCTGAAGATAGAATCTAGATCGCTAGATCTAACCTCCAAGTAGATTCTAGATCGTTAGATCTAATCTCTAAGTAGATTCTAGATCGCTAGATCTAATCTCCAAGTAAATTCTGTTGGGCAAGGGGAGTCTATATTGGTCGCATGTACCCGTTATAGGCCAATATAGAATAGAAAGTTTATTGCAAATACATGCCCGAGGGCTAATTGCAGTTACAAACAACATAAGAAAGAAAATACAGTGGTATGTGAGACTATATCTACGTCTAGCATTATACTATATTCTACAACATGCATGGTACTAGATTTACTGGGTTTGACTTCTTCTTTTTAGGCAGTGGAAGACGAATTTACCCACTTCTTCTATAATATGTGGGTTCTTTGATTTTAGTAGTAAAATTGTTTGTTTTTTCGTGGTAGGGAATGGTGGGGAAGTAAGGGAGCATTTTGGACACGGTGCTAAATAATTGTTTTCTGATGTCGTCATAAAATGGACAATTAGAGATGAAATGAATTTCGTCTTCCACTGCATTTGAGAATATAGACCCCCCTTTGCCCTTTTGAATCTGCTTAGAGATTACGGAAAATCTACTTTCTCTGTGTTATTTGAATCATATAGGTAATGCAAATGTTTAATCTTGATACTGTGTTGTTCATTCCTCAACGTTGAATTAGAGCTTTCTTCGTTGTTTTGTGACTCATTCTTTCAACATTTCGAAAAGCAAAAATGATATTCTCAGCTGCTCCAATAGCCAAAGTGAGGAAAAGTTAGCCCCATTGTCTAAATTTTTTAATCTAGGGCATGGTATTGGAATGCAGAGCCCATGCACTCCTTCCACCGCTTTTTACCTTTCCAACCGAATTCAGGTACCCATTTTTCATCGTGGCGGGCACATACGTTCTCTGGGAGGCTGGTTGTGATATAGCCGGCAAAAAATTCTATAAAAAACGCAGTATCGAAACTTCCACCCGCCCGGAGGCCTGCACAGAAGGCTAACAAGCCCCCACTATTGCCTTTGTTAATACCTCTCAAGTATACACAATCTAGATATCCGAAAAGCGATCACAAAATTAAGTTGTCATAAATTAAACATAGAAATGGGTCGATACAAGAAAATACCAAATGACCAAAGGTTCTGTCCATTTTGTCCAAACATGATTGAAAATGAGCACCATTTTATAATGGATTGTACACTCTACAATGATAAGCGCCTATTGCTGTTCACCTTTCTTTCCGCTTGTTCAATTGATTTCAATACGTTAGATGCTATAGATAAATGCAACTACATTCTCAGGGGAGATAACCAATACAGTGTTCAAATAGGAAAATACATTAAAGAATGTTTCGATCTTAGAGAACACATGTTAGAGAATAGTTTACCTTTATTGTTACATCATACATATACTCTGTACGTAAGATGACGTTATCCACACATGCATTTAGCTTTGTTAGATCTTTAGTTAAGTTGTAGGAGACCATACAAAAGTCTCTGTACTTTTTTGTTGTGTCAATAAAGAATCTTGTATGTTCTCAGTGACTATGGTGAACTGTGCGGGTTGCTGGATCTAAACGCCCCCGTCAATAACATCACCGGCGCCCCGACCTGCTGGACCGAGGCAATAGACCTGGGCATCCCGGAGGACCAGTGCACGTGCGAGGGGATCTCTCCTAAGGTCTACAGTCTCAGCAACTGGCAAAAGACGGTGGACCTGACCGACCTGGAGAGCGGTGTTCTCACCTTCCTCGCACAGGTAGATATTCGACATGCAGCAATGACTTATGTCTAAAAACAAGACATTTTTTATTCATAAGAATCCTTAAAATGAAGTAGCTAGATGAACAACAAGATAAAGTGACAACGGACTTAATTTATGCAACTTGTTACCTCATTGAAAAATGGAAGTATTGTTTTTGGCGTGTCCGTGTGTCTGTATGTGTGTGTGTGTGTTTGTGTTTCCGCACATTTGTAGTCAGCATAACTTCAGAACGCCTTTATGGATTCTGATGATATTTGGTACGTTGGTACATGTATGTCGTAGGAAGACAAAGGTCAAGGTCCTTGTGACTTTCTGTTGCAGAAGAATTTTTTTCTAGATTGAAATGTGGGAAAGTAATTTTATATGGTTGTTTCAGCATATTTAAGTATAGCCTTCAATGACCAAACGTAGTGGCCCGATGATCTAGCCTTCTAAAGCTATAGTCTGCACACTATATATACACTAATGTTGGTTTTTACCGAACTGTAGGGAGACTACGAGCTTAGGTTGACGGCTACGGACGCTAGCGGTGCGGAGCAGGCGTGTATCGGCATCAGGGTGCCGGTGAAAGAGTACGAGGATCCAAACGCCACCGGAGGCTGGCTCTTCGGCAGAAAGAAGCGATCAGCAAAGTTGCTGTAACTTGTGCACACAAGACTGGGACGTCAGTGATAACAACTGAAGTGAGCACAAAAGGCACTGACGTCATCACGAAACAAAATGGCGTCATCACAAAATATTCTGACGTCGTCAAAGAAAATGAAAACTATTACACAATGCAGTAGAAATAAAACAACATGAAGCACTTGCTACTGTGGTCTTGTTATTTCTCAAAACATGGCAATTAATAAGTGAAGATATTTATTTCATTTTGCATAAGTTGACCAACTCACTGATATGTAAAATACTAGTGTTTTCTTCCTTGCGAATATGTTTTGTGCCATTTTCCAAACACTTCATCTAATTTGCGATATAATGAATCATATTTGGGAACCTAGCCAATACAACTATATTTTGATTGTCAATGTATGCCTGACAATGTGACGATAGGATGCAGCCTTTCTCATCGCTATGCTATATTAAGTACAGTCACTAGGGACAAAGTTTAAAGTGTTCCGTGCAAATGTGTACTCGGATATCCTCACTCTATGTGAGTGATATTTTTATGCGCCACAGACGTCACAAATCGAGCTTGATCAACAAATTTCATAATAATAGATCAAGACCTACTAAATCAAATATGAGTTGGTTAAATGAAGGTCGTCTTGTTATTGTAGCTTTTAGCCTATATATATATATATATATATATATATATATAGAGAGAGAGAGAGAGAGAGAGAGAGAGAGAGAGAGAGAGAGCGAGAGAGAGAGATTTAAAACTACGTGTCTTAGAGCTAGAATACGAAAGAAAAATCTCAATATAAATGCATAAAATTTATAAAATTAGAAATTGAGCTCAAGTTACAGATAGATACACCGGTTGGTAGTGTGATATTTTTAACATGTGCTAGCTAAAGGTCTACATCGATTTGACTATTTATAATGTGACAATATCAATATATGATAATCATATATCCTAAGTATGACAATCTGCATCCTCTGTGTATATAGATTCCAAGGATAATATTTACATACCGGTGCAACCTTTATTTTTTTGTCTAAGATGCTTTTTCCCAGCTGTGTATATAGAACTTAAGATAAACCCAAGGTCTTCGATACAAATAACATACGACAGAAAAACACAGTCCACAAAGAGAGGACAACCTGCAGACGACATGTTGGTGTTTTTGCTTGCGACAGTCGCCGTTGTATCGGCACAGACTGTGTACGATTCTACCTACCAGTTTGGAAACCTAGCTGGGCCTATACCCCAAGTTGTGGTCTTCGATTGTGGCTGTGAGTTAAAAAAAAGTTGTTTTTAATTAAATCAAAAGTTAACGAAAGTTAATGAGTTTTCCCAACTGTTAAGTTAATGCAAAGACGCCATTGACATCTTGGTTAGACATAGGTGAAATTTAGTATATTTACGTGTATGAATCATAAAATTTACAGTAATATTTTTCTATTTTTACCCCTTTTCTGAAAGTTGAATCAGTTTTTTTTCATTGCGTATAGCTTAAATGTTTAGTAATTGTTGTTGATATAGTACTAATAAATTAGTTGGTTACAATATTATTGGCTTGTAACATATTGGTAAACGTTTATCATGCATGCACGAAATTGATAAAATGTTTTGATATGATTTTGTATATATACATACAAAATACATTATACATTATACAAAATACATAGAAAACGCATTATAGATCTATACATGTAATAACACATTAAAGCAGACAGTCACACAAAGGAAGAAAAGTAACATTTACACATGCTTATATAATGCATGCATTTTTGTATAGCAGCTACACAGTGTATCTATATACAAAGTCATATCGAAACCAGTATCATGTTTATACTAAATTATCTTCCATATTTGTTCATATTTCAGCCAATCCTGATCGTGCCTTCAAGAACTGGAACTTCGTTTTTGACAGAACTGACTTGGAATTGCCAGGCATCTTCACCATCATTGACTTTGATGTTAGTATTCACAACTTTGCTTTCTGCAGATAGACGTTGAATCGGTACGAATTTTAACATTGCTTTTGATTCAATGATTACCTTTGTCAAATGGCAAAGGGTTTGTACAAGAAAACTGTTATTTATTAATAAGCAACTGGATGGATTTTAAAAACTGTCAGACGTTTCAAGTGGCATTCACTATTTTTCGTCAGTGACAAACGGAATCTGTATAAGGGGAACAAAGACATTCATTCAACAAAGACAAAACTAAAATCTATCCTGTTGCTTGAGAAACTGTTTTCTTGTGTATCTCATTACCCGAAAGTCTAACCTTCATCAACGGTTTAGGGTTTGTATCTGAATGTTAAAATATTATTACAGCAGGAAAACAACAATTCTATCTAGAATTCTGCTCAAAATATTTGAATAACATAATGGAACTGAAACATTTTTCGTGTAGGTCGATGTGACGAAGCAGGTTGTTGGGCCTCTCTTTGCCCGTATTGAAGCGTGGCGGGCCATCTGGTTATTCGGCGGAATCGGTACGACTATCCAGGTCCCCTGTCTGCCTGTGGACCCTGTGTACGGCGTAGGGACATGGTAAGCACCAGCTTTGTTGAACGACTGCACAAAAAGTACCACTCGCCCCCATTGCATGTACATATATAGTGAACTAGCCTACTACTACGTAAATACCTAATCTCCAAGCAGATCTTTTGTGGCTGCAAAGACAGTACAAAATTGTCCAGGTTGCCACCCGGAAAGAAATACCAGTAAAAAAAATTAACAAAGCCAGATAAAAGCACATCTGCGCTTGGAGCAGACTCACATTACGTACCATGCTCACATGTACGTCGCGCCCACGTAGGTGGGGTCGTGTGGCGCAGCGGCAGCGTTCTCGACTCGGAACCAGAGGCCCCGGGTTCGAGTCCTGACATGCCACCGATCTTGTGCCCTTGGGAAAGGCACTTTACACGACTTTCCTCACTTAGCTCAGGTGTAAATGAGTATTGTACTGTCCCTGTGTTGGTGTCGGCATTAATATAAGTTGAAAAAACTTGAGTGTGTCGCCACCACGTCTTGTGATTACATGTTTCGGAATAAAAAAAAAAAAAAATAACATGTACGTCGGAAACATGAAGTTAAGCACCTGCCACACATGTCGAACAAATGGAAGACGAATCAAGGACTTTCTTGAGACATTCGTAAGACATTTCGGAAACGTATCGCATTTTTGAGACATTTTTGAAATATATTGTACAAACATGTGTGGTATCTTTTACCTTGAACCTCCCTGCCCTTCAGTTTGTTTTGGTTATAATGTCAAAACGAGTTTCAAGTTCAAGGTAATGATACGCCATATTAAACACTAAACATATTCTGATGCACCATATGGCCTATCATGAAATAAAAAAAGGTAAGTACTTGAGTTTTGGCAAATACACTGTATAACAATTAATTTTTGTTTTTTATCAATATCTTTTATGTTTGGTTCTCAGACATATATAGTACATACACACTGATATGCGAACATGAAGACCGATTAAAACACATTCAGAATTAAGTCTTTATCAAAGTATAATCCCTTCATTCTTCTCCCACCAGTGACTACGGAGACCTTTGTCAGATCCTGACGGACGGAAAGCCGTTCGACGCCCTGTCCAACAGCACGGTGTGTTACCCCGACGCCACGCTCATGGGGATACCGGAGGGACAGTGCGGCTGTGAGGGCATGGCGCCCAAACACTACGGCATCAAGGGCTGGAACAAACTCATCGACCTGTCAGGATTGGAGTCCGGCATTCTCACATTCCTAGCTTCGGTAAGTTCCTACAGGTTGTTCTTTTGCCTCTTCCCCACTTTTAATCGTATTAATTTCCCCACACATGGCATAGCGTCATGCAAATCATACCAAAAACAAACAAACAAACAAACAAACAAACAAACAAACGGAGATTTTAGACTCCTGAAAGTATTTGGGGATTTTGTGACATTTAGGTGTTTTATGTTTTTTGTCTTACTTCCACCCGGTGCATGCTGGGTCACCTTCAGGCTTGACCACCCGGTCAACCAACTGTGAAAATCACCACCCAACCTTCTCGCATCGTCCTGTCCCTATTTAGCCAAACAGACGCGCAAACACACAATATAACAAATTGAATATAAGTCCAAAAGTCATATAATAAGGTCCGAATGAATAACTTATATACCTTAGAAAAATAGTGTGTGCGTGTGTATGTGTGCGTGTGTGTGTGTGTGGGGGGGGGTCATTGTTTATAATATTTAATTTTCTAATGTTAGCTGCTTGTTAGTTATGAAATAAATATTAAACTTTAACTTCCGACATTAACTAGCAAGTATAGGGACTTACCCCAAATTTTCGGTTGACTCCAATGTTGGAAGTTAAAGTTTAATCTTTATTTCATAATGACTTGTACCAACACGGATGGACTTCCATGCTATGCTTGTTTATTGTTTTTTATTTGTTTTTTATTTGTTTCTAGGGAGACTATGAGCTCAGGGCCACGGTGAAAGACACTAGCGGCGCGGAGCAGGCATGTATCGGGGTCAGGGTGCCCGTGCACGAGTACGTGGACCCAGACGCGGGCGGTGGTTGGCTGTTCGGCAAGAAGAGGCGTTCCACGTAATCCTAACGTGCGCACACAAAATGATGACGTAGTTCCTACGTCATGGAAGGAACACATTTAGTTATGACCTTGAAATAAAAGAGTTCAACATGTACTGCTTAATTTGCGATTCTTTCCACATTCTGCTAGATATGCTATCCGCAAATCTTCGAATAAACAAGACATCATACAATTAAAAAAAATAAAGGAAAAGTAACATTTGCAAAGCAAATGCATAATGTTTACCTTCGCATATAGTCTGCTCTGTTATGTCATTCTTACTCAAATACATTCATATATATGGTGACAGGAGCCTAAATCCCTCCTACTATAAAATTGCAACATTATGTAACCCAACACCAGTTACCATGGTGAGAGACAGTTTGGTTCAGGTCATTGACCAGGTCAGAGGTCAGTGAGAAGAAGAAGAAATTGAGCAAAGACAATATGCTTTCCTTCGGTAAACATAATAAGCAAAACAGAATGGAATGGAATGATTAATGAGATAAATTTAAGGACCCTTTAAGGACCCTTTTAAGGAATCTAAGGACACCCTCGGCAAAGGCAGACCGCTAGCATGCTCGAAGCCCCTTTGGGGGGGGGGGCTTGAAGATCCACCTATTTAACTAAAGGTCCAAAATTTCCGTATCACCAGCGGGGTTGGAATCCTAGAAAAACTGATGACTTGTCATTGAAAAAAAAGTTATCTCTGATTTC